ACCTCCTTTAATAAGCCTGAGTGTGTCAGGCACTGGCTAAATTTGGGGACTCGAGAAAGCAAAGCACCCGGTCCATCACACTGACCTGCCCCGCCTTTCTCCGTTTTTACTCATTTTCTGAAAAAGGATAGAGGAAGGAGAGGGAAACCAGGAGGCCAAAAGTCCATTTCTACATTTTTCTTTTTGGCTCTGAGTCCTAATTAGAGAAGCTCAGGTTCTCGGGGGGTTCACGTTCATACCTTTCCAGGGAAAACCAAGCTTTGCTCTCTTCCTTCCTCCCACCTTAGAAATGTGCAATATTCAGAACAGAACGTCTTCCTCTTTCCTCCGGCTGGGCTCTTTTTGGCAACAAACCCAACCCAGAGAGAAAGGAGAGGAAGGCCGGGTGGCAGCCAGGGGCAAGGTACAGAGCTGAGATAGCGTGCATGGTTCAATTGCTAGGCTAGGTTGGGGATAAGTGGACTCACGTTATAATATGTACTGGGAAAACTTTGGATTGGACTGAACAAAGCCCTGCCTATAGCATCCTCCAGGGCCTTGACCTGTCTCCAATTCCACTCTGCCAAGCCTATTCCCCATTGCTACAGCCCCTATTTCAGCCTGAAGAGAGGTTGGCTGAAAATAAGAAAGTCACTTCTTTTAATGCACACAAACTTGCACCTGGGTCTGCCAATATGCCTTAGGCTGGGTTGGTGAGGACTATAAATGCCTGCTGCAGATGGCCTGGAAAGGCACAGAACCTGTGAACCCATCTGCATTGTTAATAGCCCAGCTTTTTCCAGTGGGAGATAAAAGAAAAATGGTCTGGAAAGACGAGGGCCAAAGTCCTTGGCTCCTGCCCGTTTCTTAATCAATATTAAAACATCCTGGATCCACATTTAGATGTGGAGGCTGCTTGATCAGTTACCTCAGGAAGGAAGAGGAAGAGTCAGAGATATCTGAACTCAGGGGTATAGGAGTTTCCAGAGTCAAACTCTTCTCAGCCCACCCAGACGCATCTGGGTGGCACAGTGGTTAGAGCTGTGGCTTTAGGATCAGGAAGACCTGAGTTCAAATTTGGAACTGATACTTATTAGCTGTGTCACCCTGGGCAAGTCATTGAGTTTGTTTGCCTCTGTTTCCTCAACTGCAAAATAGGGATAATAGTAGCACCTACCTCCTAGGGTTATTGTGAGGATCAAATATTTGTTTAAAAAAAAGTGCTTAGTGAGCACTGTGCCTGGCACATAGTAGGTGCTACATAAATGCTTATTCCCTTCCCTTTCTCACCCAACTCAAGATGAAAAGTCTCAGACAGCACTATGGCCTTGAAAAGTTGCCCTAGACTAAGGATTCTTAGGCATCTTTTGTCATGATCCCTTTTATTAATTTGGTAAAACCTACGGCCCCTTTCTCAGAATATGCTTTTTAAAAATTCCAAATTGAAAGAAATGTTTAAAAAAAAGTTTAGTGATTGGCTGGTGAAAATAAAGATGTATTTTTTTTTCCCATTCAAATTCTATTCTAATGTCTAGAAGGTTCCTAGGATTTAGACTTGAAAGCACTCTTGGAGATCATGCAGTACATTTTTACCCCCCATTTTATAGAAACAGAATCAAGGAAAGAAGTAAAGAGATTTTCTTAAGGTCATCCAGATAGTCAGTAGCAGAGCCAAAATGTGAATCTCTGCCTTCTGACTTCAACATTCTTTCACTACACCATTGTTCCTTGTTAATAAAACCCCTGGAACCCCTACTTCCAGCCTAGAATCTCTTCCCTTGGCAGCTTTATGGATGGCAGGTCGTAAGCTAAATGAGAAAATGAGATGAAGAGTTTGAAGCCAACTCGGAAACTTTTCAAGAAACATCCTTGTAGCTAATATTACTGTCTGGGGGTTGGTTGGGATTCTAGGATTAGCGTTCAGGAGCTAGAAATGGGTAACAACGGGGGAGGTGTTATCTCTTCTGAGTACCACACCAGGTATTAAAATAAACAGGCTCTTGCCTGCTGGAGCTGGGGGTGGTGGGGAAAAAAAATCTGGGCCCCTCAGTGAAGCTGGAAAAAGCACTCATGGATGAGCTGGGGTGGGACTCCTCAGCTGCTTTCCTGCCTGTTTTTGTTTGATCCCGGGACTTTCCCCGATTACCATTCTGGTAACAAGGGGCAAGAACAACTGCTACCTTGAATAGTGGGTAACTGCCTAGCCCCAGACGTGCTTCCTGAGACAAGCAACTATTTTCCATATATGGCCAAGGGGACTGGAGTAGACCGATTCCTGTCAGTTTTCCCATGCAGTGGAAGAGGAGAAAGTGAGCCAGCAGGTGAGAATCTTTTCCCAAATATTTCAAGAACGGATCATTTTTTAAGGATATCAGACTGATACCTTCTCCCCTGTAGTCCGAGCTAGAGGTCACATGGATGAATTCCCCAAGTTTGGCCTCATCTTTAAACCACTGGTCCAGAGAACTCTACTAAGAACCAGACAGACTTCATTCTTTTTGCCATCTCCACCAATACAACCAGGAAAACTGCAACATGTCTAGGGACCAAACTCATGGATTCTTTTCTTCCAGTGTCATCATCATCCTGCATGGTAGCCTTCATTTACATCAGGAGCTCTTCACCTTTTTTGTGTCATGAATGGGGCTAGCAGTCTGGTGAAAACCTATAGACACCTTCTCAGAATGTTTTTAAATGCATATATATAGATGATTACAAAGGAAACCAATTATATTAACTATAGTTATCAAAATAGTTTTTTTAAAAACAGACTTTAGTTCAAGAACCCCTGATTTACAGGGAGTTTGAATGGATATTTCCCCAGAGAATAGGGAATACAGACACAATGGGAACAGAGGTTAGAGTAGCTAATTCAAAGGTTACTCTCTGAAATTTTACCTCAAACCCCACAATACCATGAAGCTAATCAGATGCTAGGCTTGCAAACTAGCATTCCCATGTATTCTGAAATAAGGTAGGGGTTAAGGACTGATTTGTGAGGTGTATTAGTATGACCTACTTCAAAACCTGAGAAGTCAGTGGGATGCACAGGAAGGCAGGAAGCTGAAGCTCTGTCTCCGGGCAGAGCAACAGAAGGTCCCTCGAGTGGCAGTGGTTCCCACCCCTAAGGCTCTCCCCACCCCTCTGCTTCCCTGGCTGCCTGCCTTGGAGCAGGAAGGAAACAGCTGCCCTTGTCTGGCAGATGCCCTTGGAGCAATCTGGGTGTGTTGGGGGCTGGAGGGGGGGCAGGGTTTGAGACTGGCAAGGAATAAGGACAGAGGAAGCTGATCAGGTACTTAGGGACTTATCCCTTAATTGCTCACTGCTTTGTGAGTGTCTGCAGCTGGCCGGGGGGGGGGGGGGGGAGTGTCCCCGGGGGCCGTGGCACAAGGGCTGCCAGGAGATATTTTCACAAACCTGTGAATCCTCATCACTCCAATTTCAGATACCATGTGTGAGCAACAGCTGAAGCCCAGGGACAGGGCCTAACAGGACAGAGAATGAGTTTTAGGAAGGTGATGTCAATGACCTTTCCAGGGCTGGGCTCAGATAGTTTCTTTCTTTTTTTTTTTTTAAAGGTAATTAGGGTTAAGTGACTTGCCCAGGGTCACACAGCTAGTAAGTGTCAAGTGTTTGGTCTGAGGCCGGACTTGAACTCAGGTCTTCCTGACTTCAGGGCCAGTGCTCTATCTACTGAGCCACCTAGCTGCCCCCTAGTTTCTCTACTTAGTTGTGTTTTCTGCAAGTACTTCAGCCCAGGGAACAAAGCACATACCATACTTTTTATTTTGTGTAAATGAGTTTATTGACAAGGACATCAGGCCAAGAGCCCTCCCCCCTTCCCCCCACAGATTCCAACAGGGAATAACAGAATGACAAGCATTCACAGGGTGGTATATTCATCCCCATTCCCAACCCCCACCCTGCCTGTTTCCACAGCTTCAAATTTTACAGAACAGATACATATAAAGTCCAGGCCCAGGAGGGGAGACACTTGGAAGGAACCTCTGGACAGCAAAATTCTGGATATTTGTTTTCCTTTATCCCCCTGCATTCATGCCAGAGACAGAGACAGACAGACAGACAGACAGACACACACACACACACAGACACATACATCCCATAATCAGTTAAGTTAGGCATGGTCCAAAAGCACTAAAGGGAAAGAGTGTAGAGCTGGTTAACATCTGTTTCCCTCTGAAAGAGTTGGAGAGATTGTGCTCCATGTGTAAGGATGACTTAAAGAGTACATGGTGATAAACTTTTCCAAAAGACCACGATGTCCCAGACTGGCTCACTCCACTTGGCCAAGTGAAGACAATTTCTACCTCATGATTTACAGTGACTATAAGCGCCTCTGGCCTTCCCATTTTAGGGCAGAGGCACACATCCTCATGTAAAACCAACTGTCTGACCCTTTCCCCTAGTCATCTCCTCACTGTCCAGGGGCTGGCATTTCTTAGTGGAGATGCTGAATCATTGAGGGAGAAGCTCTCCACTCTGGCTTTCCATGCTACATCAATAATGCCAATTTAGCAGACCTCATGGTCCTTCTTGTCCTCCTCTTCTGACACAAATGCAGACAACTGGACTAACACCACCTCTCCCCCCCCCCCCGCCCCCACTACACCTTTCACAAACACTGAAAGTCACCAGTTGGTGTCAGGAGGTATCCTCTCCATGACTTTGGGTTCTCAAAAGGCCTTAAAGCTGGTGCCACTCCACTTTAAGCTGGTGACCTACAAGTAAGTGGTCTAAGCCAGGCACAGTTCACACAGTGCAGAATCATGGCTATTGGAATGCCTGTGGCACATGCCAGGATGATGGTGGGCCTCCTACTTCCTCCTACTTCCTGTCTGGTCACTAAAGCCAAGCTTGTTTTATCATGCACAACCAACAATCTGGGCCATCTGGTGGGTCTCTTCTCCCATTTTCTGGAAACAAAACAAATGTCCTCTAGAGTACTCTTTACAATGGATTCTCTATGGACTCAGTCCATTGCTTGGGGTTGGTGGGAATCCCCAGAATTTGAGAGCTGACAGGGTGAGACAGAGTGCTGGGGACAGTGGTCTTGTCTTAAAGTACCTGAGTTCTGCTCAGGAGGATCTAAGAAAGAGCAACCCTTTTCTCAGCCTCCAACAGGGCCCTGGAGCTCAGGAAATACCAGACAAGGTTGGAGGTGGCCAGTGGTACCCACAGATCCAGTCTGACACTGTAGGGATTAACTGCAAAAGGGCCATGCCAGGGCAAGCCCCCAGAGAAGAAAATAAGAAAACAAAGTTGCTGTTTCAGATGTTGTAACATTCTTCAAAAAATCACATCCAACCACATAGGAGGGGCTCAGGAAGCTCTTAGCATACTGCCTGGTGATAAAAACTGGCAACCCCTTCTAAGCTAAGCCTAACTGTTCACAGCAATTAGGTGCTGATGGTAAGCAGGACAAGGGATTTGTGGCAGTTCCAACCTGCATCATCACTGAGCTGAGCCTGCTGGGCTCAGGGCCTGTGGGAGTGGGGGCTGCTTCCTTGGTGGTATCTGTATTTTACAGCATGCTCCTTCATATGACTGGCAGGCACCGGGAAAGCTGCTCAACTGAGGGGGGGGTGCTAAGATCAGCAGAGAGAACACAGACAGGCACAGAGCACAAGACATAGAAGGCAGGGGAAGAGGTGAATGGCGTGCAAGAAGGGGGCCAGAAGGTCCAAATTTCAGCCCTAGCTATACCACAAAGTAGCCTGGAACCACAGGGAAGTCCTTTTCCTGTCTGGGCCTCAGCTTCTGTAGCTGCAAGATCACACCTCATCTGAATGGAGGACTTCAGGGAGTGGGACCTGTGTTATGCCCATCTGGCCGGGGGCAGAGCAGAGAGCCTCTCTTTACTATCACTCAATGACCCCCAGTGCTGACAGCTAGCTGCACTTCTGTCTCTGTTGCAAAGAGGAATCAGGGACCCCCTCCACATCTCGAGCACCCTGGAATCAACAAGTAAGGGAGACTGGCTTGTCCAAAAGCAGAGCAATTTGGGGAAAACAAAAATCAGGGAAAGCGCACTGCCTGAAGGAGAAAGGGAAAGACAAGAAAAAAAAAATCACTGGAAATTCAATTAACCAGGGCTGAAGTAGCTTCTCCTGAAAACATGCTGCACAGAGAGAACGGTAACTGATCCGGCTCTACCCTTCCTCATGCTTTGCTCAGTTACCAAGGGGCAGTTGCTTTTTACCCTTCCAACTTGTTACACTAACAAAAAAAATTTCAATATGTATAAAAAAATACAAAACAATAAAGTGCAATTCATGATTCAATGATACTTTTCCTTGCTTTAATAAACAGGTTTTTCCCTTTTTTTTTTGATTTTTGAAATGAGTTTTCGATTACAAAATAACCAACTAGGCTCTAAAGCAGTTTAGAAAACGCCAGCCATTGGCACAGGATGGAGAAGCTCACAGGTGGTGGAGGCAGGGAGTGGTCATAGCAGGGCTTACAGACTTTTGTGGGCAGGTCAAACTATCCAGAGGGTTGTGTCCTAACATTAGCACACATTAGTACACTAGTCACTACCTTGGTGGGTCAGGGTGGTTTGGACTCAGGAGTCTATACATCAACACAATTGCTTCCAGTTAAAGAGTCTTGATTTGCACAGATGGCAGGGGCGGTAAGGCGCCTCCATTTCTAGTCTTTTAGTTTTTCAAAATTCCATCGTAGACCTGGTAGATGTACTGGGAGACTTCAGGAGCTCGACACTTCAGAGACAGCTGTTGAAGAAAACAGGAGAAGGAAGATTAATTAGCATGGAGGCTGGTGATAATCTAACACATACATTTCCAACAAGGGAGTTGTCACCGAGTCTTCCAGGGGCAGCCTACCTCATGGTAGTATCTGAACAGTGAGATCATTCCTATGAAGTCAGTCTGGATTTTGGTGTCTTAATTTATATGGTAGCAACACAACCCTACCATAAACCTAGGGTAGCATGGTGGAAAGCACAATGGCCCTAGAGTCAGAGGACTGGGTTCAAATGCCAAGTTGGACACTTATGTATGACCTTGAACCATTCAGTCCCATCCATAAATGAAGATATATGTAGATCAAGTTGCACTGGGATTCTATCTAGAGTCTATGATAAACCTCTTAAGTCAGGAAGGAATTAATGCAATAGAAATCACAGTAAGTTACAAAATGAAGTGCTGATAATTTACTAAGAGATTAAAAAAGGAAAACAGGGCAAGGTATACTACTGAGTGTACTACACCAGAAAGGGTGGGCTGATACCACGAAATTGCTCATGGCCACATAATCATTAACAAGGAGATAAAAATTCCAGTCTTCTATTTCACAAGAATATGTATGAGCTCCAAAGTTTTTTTTAAATCTTATTTTTTATTGATATAGTTTGTTTTTAAATCACCTTCATTTCTGAACACACCCTGATGTTAGCCACTCCTGGTAAGAAAAATTTAAAAAAAGAAAGCAAAGTAGTTCAGCAAAAACTATACATCAAAACCAGCATGTCTGACAGTCCATGCAATATTATATCCTCTGCAAGGAGAAGGAAGGACACTTTCTCAACTCTTGGGTACCAGGCTTGTTCATTCTAGTTATACAGCATTCAATTGTAGTTTTTGTTCTGGTTTACATTACATGGCAACATCACTGTGTATAGACTTTTCCTCATTCTGTGGATTTCACTTTGTAATCAATCATTCATGTAAGTCTTCCCAGAATTCTTTATCCTCGTCCCTGATTATGCGCAGCACTACTATTCCCTTACGGTCATGTATCCACAGCTGGTTTAGCCATTTCCCACACAATGGGTATCTGTGTATTTCCAGTTGTTACAAAAAAAAAACCCGTTGTGAATCTGGTTTATGTGTTAACTGTCACCTTTAACTTCCTGGGGCTCATGCCCAGCAGGGAGAGCGACCTATGGAGACGGGCATGGAGGGGACTCTGACATCTAATTACAATTTTCCAGAATGATCAGCCCAATTCAGAGCATCACTACAAGTGACTGGTGTGCCAGTCTTTCTGCAGCCCTGCCAACACTTTCCTCAGCTCTGTCATCTTTGCCAATTTACTGGGTATGAGGTGACATGGTTGTTAAGAGTTTGCAATTTTTCGGAGAACTGCTTACTCCTACCTTAAGAACTCTGGCCAATGACTCCTGGTCTCACATCTTTGTTACTCTACTATGTTGCATATCTTGGATGTTAAATTCTTATCAGAAATCTGCTGCAAAGATGTTTTCCCCATCAATGATTTCCCTCCTAACTGCTACGTTCATGCAAAAGTGTTTCTATTTTCTATGGTTTCTTTAAATACCAAATTCCTATAAAACTGTAGCTCCATAGCAGTTTGAAGTTTTTCAACAGAAATGTATTATTTAAGTCCAGGGCATTATAAGTTTACTGAAGGAATAAGAGAAAAATAACAATTAACAAGGGATAATAAAGGCTTAGAAAGAAATACTCATTTGCTTAGAACCAAAGCTTCAAACTTGAAAGAAACCAGCCATCAGATTCAACCTAGCAATCTCTTCTGTAACACCCTGACAAAGGGTTATCCAGTGTCTGCTTGAATACTTCTAGCTACGGGCAGCTTACCACTTTATATGAGAGTCAGCCTGCTTCTATGCTGGAGAACTCTGAAAGTTCTTTCTATTGAACCAAAAGGTGCTTCCCTGTAATTTCTCTTCCACAGAATAGCTTTTCAAGCATTTGATGGTAAATCTCATGTGCCCCTTCCCTACATTAAATTTTCTCCAGCCTGCTGACTGAGAAAGCATTGGATGAAGGGCATCACAGACACGGTGTAGTAAAGCAGAAAGTGAACTGCATTTGGAGTTAGGAGGCCGGACTACAAAACTAAGCAGTTGTGAAAATAATAATAATAATAATAATAATAATAATAATAATAATAATAATAATAATAATAATAATAATAATAAAGACTTATATACGGCTTTAAAGTTTGCAAAACGTTTGACATCCATTCTACCTCATCTGAATTGCACAGCAACCTTTTGAGGTGGGCACTATTACATCCCCATTTTAAAGATGAGAAAAATGAAACTCAGGGAGCCTGACATACCCATGGTCATACGGCTAGGTCATTTAACCTAAGCACTTGCATTACCGGGATGGTGGGCAAATCACTAGGCCCTTCAAAACACGGAAGCCTTAGTGATACCAGTAGTTAATACCCCAAAGACAACAGAGACAGAAGGAAAGGGCCCACACGTACATAATATTTACAGCAACACTTTCTGTTGTAACAGAAGTAGAAACAAGATGAGTACCCATTAACGGAGGAATGGTTAGACAAATTATGATATATGCATTTAATGGAATCTTATTATATTGTACAAATGAAAAAAGGCTTGGATTCAGAAAAGCATGGGAAGACTTGTACGAACAGATACATAATGATGTGAGCAAGACCAGGAGAACAATCTACACAACTGCTACAACACTGTAAAGAATAACAATTCTGAAAGACTCAAGAACTCAGATCAAGGTAATGACCAACCACAACTCCAGAAAACTGATGAGGAGGTAACTGACTTCTCAGCAAAGAAGTGACTGACAGCAGGTGCAGAAAGAGACCTGCGTTTTCAGATACAGCGACGTGCAACACTGTTTTGCGTGTTTACTAATCTGGTACAAGGGAGGACACTTATTTGTCTATTTGCTCATTTATCTATCTGGAGAGGGTGCACAGGGAATGACAGCCATACAGAAGGAAAAGTGTCCACGCAACTTACAAATACAGGGAAGACAGTGAAAAGAAGTTCCGAAGGGGTCGCAGGCAAGCAAGGCATTGTCGGTACTACCATGTCAAGTTCAACATAAACTGTAATCGAGACCCACAGGTTCATACGTGAGCCTCTTTTTCTGTCATTTACATATAGCAATGACCATGTTTCCTAATATCTGTTAAGTCAGTAATAAAAAAAAATTGGAAAGGCAAGGGAGGGGGAAAGATCTTCCACAGGCTAAATACATCATGAAGCCATTGTGTTAGCAGGGTTGGCCAAGGTGAGATATGCGTCTCTCTTCTCCTCTCCTCTCCTCTCTCATCCTCATCACATATAGCAGCAGTTCTATTTTGAAAACTGCTGAACTTTGGTAAGGCTTATAGTGAAGTTTACACAACTGATTTTAAGAACCAGCCCCAGAACAAAGAGCCAAAGAAAGGAAGAGCTTCCCTTCCGGGTTCCAGGCAGAACAGGAAACTCCAATGAGAGAAGGTGGCCGGGCAGGGAGGCCAAGGAAGAATGCACGCTTCGGGGAGAATCCTGAAACTCTCCAGTTTACAAGTAACTAAGTAAAAGGTTCAAGGTCAGATGAGATAGTTTGGCTGAGTTTTTATTGAGAAGCACAGGAAACTACAGAACCAGGACAATCAGCCCAAGACAAACAAGAGCCTACCTAGCGGCCACAGACAAAAACGGCAAAAGGGAAGCTGCCGTTTGATACGTGGGTCAGCACGATCAAAGTTTCATCTGGGCTGCTGGCAGTCAGCCCTGACCTGCCTTACATTCAATAATAAAGGGACACACATGGGTGGTCATGGAGTTGCTAGAAAAGACTTGTGAATCTCCTTGCTCTCCTTGGGATACGAGCTCCTTACGTGGGGTAAACACATATACTTGTGGAATCAACTGGGTCAAGAACCGCTTCAGAAGTTATTACAGTAATATATATATATATATATATATGTATATATTTAGAGGATTTTCTCTCTCTCTCTCTCTCTAATTATTCGATGGTACTAAGTATTAGACTGCCATAATCTGTGAACAGTATGTGCTGAAAAGAGGAAAGGGCGGAGACCCCTGAAAAATAACAAAAAACACCTTTCCCCCTCTTCGGTAGAGCCGGCAAGACTTACCGTGTAGTTGGGATTTCCTGGCTGGATACGTAGCTCTGCCAATATCCAAATGCCATTAGTGAGTTTCAGGGACTGGTACAGCATGTCCTGCCCTTCCACATTTCTCTTGGCAATAGTATAAACGTTGTTGTTTTGCAGTTTGCTGGAAACAGTGTCTAGAAACAAACAGAAATTCCAACAGTCATTTAAAAGCTTTAAGGAAGTACACAGTCCCTCCCCATCCCCTACACTTCTTCATGCCTAAAACACAACAAATGGAGAAGCAAATACCATGTTTATATTGGTATGATCAGGCAGTCAATAAGCATTTATTAAGCACCTACTATGTACCCAGCGCCGTGCTAAGCAGGAGAGATACAAAGAAAGGCAAACACAGTCCCTGCCACCAAGGGGCTCACAAGGGAGACAGAATGAAAACACTAAGTACAGACAAGAGAAGGCACTGGGATTACAAGGGGTCACGTGGAAGACGTGATTTTTAGCTGGGGCTTGGAGGCAGCCAGGACAGCCGGACGACAGGGGTGAGAAGGGCAGCGCTCCAGGTGGAGGGAGGCAGCCAGGACAGCCGGACGACAGGGATGAGAAGGGGAGCGCTCCAGGTGGAGGGAGGCAGCCAGGACAGCCGGACGACAGAGGTGAGAAGGGCAGCACTCCAGGTGGAGGGAGGCAGCCAGGACAGCCGGACGACAGAGGTGAGAAGGGCAGCACTCCAGGTGGAGGGAGGCAGCCAGGACAGCCGGACGACAGAGATGAGAAGGGCAGCACTCCAGGTGGAGGGAGGCAGCCAGGACAGCCGGACGACAGGGATGAGAAGGGGAGCGCTCCAGGTGGAGGGAGGCAGCCAGGACAGCCGGACGACAGGGGTGAGAAGGGCAGCGCTCCAGGTGGAGGGAGGCAGCCAGGACAGCCGGACGACAGGGATGAGAAGGGGAGCGCTCCAGGTGGAGGGAGGCAGCCAGGACAGCCGGACGACAGGGATGAGAAGGGGAGCGCTCCAGGTGGAGGGAGGCAGCCAGGACAGCCGGACGGCAGGGATGAGAAGGGCAGCGCTCCAGGTGGAGGGAGGCAGCCAGGACAGCCGGACGACAGGGATGAGAAGGGCAGCACTCCAGGTGGAGGGAGGCAGCCAGGACAGCCGGACGACAGGGATGAGAAGGGCAGCGCTCCAGGTGGAGGGCAGCGACAGAGAAACGCTCAAAGTCCAGAGACGGCCTGTCTTGTCCGTGGATCAAGGTCTAAGCAGGGAGGTGAAAGATGTAGAAGATGGGAAAGGCGGGGCAGGAAGGTAACAGGCAATGAAGGGCTTTGAATGCTAAGGAGCCACTGGAGTTTACTGAGTAGAGGGTGTCACAGTCAGACCCAAACTTTAGGAAAATCACTGCAGTGGTTGAATGGAGAATAGGCTTGAGTGGAGAGAAACCTGAAACAGGCAGACCCTTTAACAGGCTACTGCAATAGTCCACATGTGAGATAACGAGGGTCTGTGCCAGAGTGGTAACGATCAGAGGAGAGAAAGGCGGTGTGTTTTGAGAAAGTGAAATCAAGAGGCCTTGGCACCCTATTGGCTATGGGGGAGAACGGACTGAGAGATAGTGAGGAGTCCAGGATGACTCCTAAGTTATGAGATTAGGGAATGGGAGGATGGTGTTGCCCTCAACAGTAATGAGGAAGTTTGGAAGTGAGGAGGGTTTAGGAGGAAAGATAATGTGATCTGTTTTAGACATGTTTAATCTTAAGATGTCCACTGGACATCTAGTTTGAGATGTCCGAAAGGCAGATGGAGATACAAGATGGGAAGTCAGTAGGGAGACTGGGGCAGGAAAGGCAGATTTGAGAATCATCAGCACGGCGACGTAATTAAATCCATGGGAGCTGATGAGATCATTAAGTGAATGAGTATAAAGGGAGAAGAGAAGGGCCCAGGACAGAACTCTAAAGGACACCTATGGTTAGAGAGTGTGATCTGGAGAAGAATCCAGCAAAGATAACAGAACAATCAGTCAGGTAGGATAACCAGGAAAGAGCGGTACCCCAAAAACTTAGAGGCATCTATTGTAAAGAGCCTTTTCAAGGAGTTTAGCTGCAAAAGGCAGAAGAAATATAGGGCATAATGGGGATGAAAGGGTAAAGTGAGTGTTTTCTTCAGATTGGGGGAAATATGGGCATGTTTATAGGCAGTAGGGAATAAGCCAGTAGAGAGGGAGAGATGGAAAATGGGCGAAAGAGTGGGGAATGACAGAGTGGACAATCTGTTGGAAGAGAGAGGGTGGAATGGGACTGCCTGAGCAGGTAGAGGGGGTAGACTTGGTAAGGAGTAAAGTCACTTTTGCAAGGGCTGAAGGAATCTGAGTGATATGAAGCAAGGATGCTGGAGGAAGAGGAGCTCCTGATGAGCAGCCTATATTTTTTGTGTGAAATATGAGGCAAGGTTCTCAGCTGAGATGGCAGGAGGATGGGGAGCCATGGGAGGCTTAAGGAAGGATGACAAGATCTGGAAGAGCCGCTGTGGAGAGAACAACAGTGAGTTGGCACAGGAGGTGTAGGATGGCCTAGCAGCAGGGAGGGCCCAGCTGAAGTTACGTAATACTATAAATTGGTGGCAGACTCAACCAGAATGGTTGTGTCATTTTCTCCACTTTCGCTAGTGAAGGCCGCTAGTCTGAGGGGAGGAGCTGGGGAAGAGATGAAAGATGGAGTTAGGTACCGAACTGGCCGAAGAAGGAAGTGGAGTGCCTGTAGGTCTGTAGATAACAGCTACCAGAATTTTGGCTGAATGGCAGATGTGGATTGTACGGAACTCAGGAGAGGACAGAGGTAGTGGGGAAACCTTGAAAACGGCAAGAGAACAAGGAGTAGTGCAACTCCCTCAACTCACCCATGAGCCAAGGGAATGTTCAGCTAGTACTGGAAAGGATGCTCAGGGAGGCTGTGTATCGTGATTGCCAGAAGATGGAAGGCACGGGAGAGGAAAAGATTGAAGACAGAGGATTCAACAAACTTCAAAATCTCTTTTCTCACTAATAGTAACATGTACGGAGCAGGCAGGCTCTCCAACTGTGTCTGATTCTAATACAGAGCACAGAACAAGGTTCATCCTGAGGCATCACTGCACAACACAGCCCTATGGACTGAGCACAAGGTGACCACAGGGATTTGTGGGGAAAGGTCCTACCAGTCAAACCTCTCTGGACCTCAGGCCTCTTTGTAAAATGAGAAGGCTGGACTGGAGGAATCAGTGAATGAAAAGCAAGTGCTTACTGAGTGCTAAGCGCTGGGGATACACGTACAAAAGCAAAGACAGTGTCCTATCTTCAAGGAACTTACATTTGAAGAGAGACAGCGCACATAATGCACACAGGGTAGTGGACTAATACCACATACGGATCTGCTGGCCACCACAGTGACATCAGCAGAGCCACAGCCATCGTACCTGCAGCCATCCCACCTTAATCCACAGACGCAAGATGACAGCATGACTTGGAGTTGTACAACTGCCTCGAAGTTTTCCTTTTAAGTTTTAGTGGTTTAGAAGCTGCAAGAGTCAGAGACTCCACATGGAGCTAGGATTTTAGGAACAGGCAAAAGGTCCCTTTAGAACACCAAGGCGTCGAGTTAAAACTGAGATAAGCTATATGGAAGAAAGACCCCAAGAGGAAGCTTGATACTTTGCTAAGCGGTTCACTATGAAATTCTGGAACAGCTGTTGCCAAAGGCTGCTGGTGGAAGGCTTTGGTCGCTAACCCAGGAAGAAGGAAGAGATGGTGTCTGCGCACCTTCCAGGTCACTGGAATAACTCCACAGTTCCACAGGTAAGGACGGTGACTTTCTAATTTGGAGCCTTTCACAGCCTGGTTCCAAACAACTTTTCCAGCTTTCTCATATGTCCTGGCCTTGTGGCTGCTCCTTCCCATACCACCAGCCTTTCCTCACAGCTGAGATGAACTTCCTCCTGACCTCAGCCTCTCAGACTTGGAGGTTTCTTTCAAAGTTCAGTTCAAGAGCCACCTCCCTCCCCCCAAATATAGAGCACAAGCTCCCCAAGGGAAGAAGATGGTTTCATTTTTGTTTTCGTATCTCAGTATCTGGCAAAGAATAGGCACTTAATGAACGCTTGCTTTTTGATGAACTCTCGATGCCTGTGTGCTAAAAGGAGAGAAATCTACAGATGAGCCTAGTGACAGCCAAGGAAGAATCCTCAAACCTCAGGGCAAGAAAGATGAGAAAAGGATGATGTCTGCTGATGCTGATCACCTGTGCACACTGCTGATGGGGGAGAGGACGGTGACTACAGGTCTTAAGTTACTTCTTGACTTGCTTCCAAATGGAAAAGCTGCCCCATCCCCTCGGCCAGGTCCTGTCCTCTAACTGTGCCCAGCCACAGGCTTCAGGCTGTGCTGGCTCAGACACTGAGAACTTGGAAAGCACTGGGCTCAAGAAACCCAAAGCCAGCACACTTTATCTTAGAAAGCGCTGCTTGTTATGAGAGTTTGAGTCAGCCACCAAGCTTCTCCGAAAAGAAGAACAGCGTGACCGACCTAAAATAGGAAACTACAAAGTTCAGTACTGCAGAAATGCTGACCACCAGTTGGAATTACTGTGACATTATCATTCCAGGAAAGAGAAAGGAAAGTTTCTGCCCACCAAGAAAAAAGTAAGTGGTTCTTGACGTCAGGCTGTGTGATGATCAAAAGCTCTGGGAGGCAGTCATGTCCATCAGGTTTGTGGCATCACCATTCTGCCCTGTTATGCCCATTCTATTGAGTCTTGTGTTTAGCTCTTGTGGGAGGATGGCTGAGAGCTTTCATGACATTTTCTTTCTAATACATTAGAAAGTAAACTTTCTGAGGACAGCTCTTTGCATTTCTCCCAGTGCTTAGCACATAAGAAGGCTTCAGTAAATATTACTGAATGAATCTTTTTAAAAATTCTTATTGGTGCAAGAGTGATGCCCAAATGTGCATTCTGCACAGTTTGCATTAAACAAGGCAGCTACGTGGCTCTGTGAATAGAGCACCGGGCCTAGAGTCAGGAACACCTGAGTTCAAATCTAGGCTGTGTGACCCTGGGCAAGTCACTTAACCTATGATTGCCTGACAAAATGGATCCACCAGAGAAGGAAAGGGCAAACCACTCCAGTATCTTTGCCCAGTCAGAC